CTACAACCTCACCGCGGACTACGAGTCCCGCCTCCATGCCTTCACTGAGGCCAACCCCATGGCCGGCCTCGACGACGTGGTCCAGTGGATCATTGACACGGAGGTCAAGCTCCGCACCCCCGTTGTCAACCTTACCACCCCTCAGTCCTCCTCCTCCACCTCCCTCAACGCTACGCAGCCGCGCAACCAGGGTGGTCGCCAGCGGCGGCGGCGGAGGCCGTGGAGCGGGTGGCGGTGGTGGTGGTGGAGGCCGTGGTGGTGGCGGTGGTGGTAGTGGTGGCCGTGGTGGCCGTGGTGGTGGTGCTGGCAGCGCCCCTGCTGGAGGTGCTGTGACTCGAGGCGGACGCCCTGGCACTCTCCCCCCATGCACATATGTGCGTCGCCATGGTCCCCATGCAGGTACCCCTTGCGGCCAGACCAACCATCCCCCCACCACGTGCTTTAAGGCACTTGACGACGCCTGGTTTGATCGCGGCAACACTGGCACCCCTCCTCGCTGGAACTCGGTCACACCTCGCCCCTCCTTAGTGGACATTCAAACCCTCCCCTCTTTCCTTCCTGCTCACCTCCGCATGGTTACCCCCTCCCCACCCTCACAGCTGCAGCAGTTTCAGCAGCACCAGCAGCAGCAGCACCTGTACTTCCACCAGCAGCAGCAGCAGCCGCAGTTTTCTCCAGCCCCAGCAGCCGCCGCCGCCGCAGTTCTTCCAGCCACCGCCGCAGCAGCAGCAGCAGTTCCTTCCCCCACCCTGGCAACAGCAACCACTCACCTTTGGCACAGCGGCCATGGCCGCTCATACCTCCCTTCCTCCTCCTCCCCCCTGGGGTTCCCTCCCCTCTGCCCCCCCCAGTGTTCCCGACACTTCTGGTAGTTTCCTTGGTAATATCAGTGTTGCACCGTCCGTCGCTGCCATGTATCCCTCTGCTGTCAATGAGACTTCGTTTCAGTACCCCGTCCCACCCCCTCCTCCCTCTTCTCCCACCCTGGACTTTGTCCTTGACAGTGGAGCCACTGAAACCGCACTGAAAGACGCTGGCACTCTCACCCCACTACCACTTCCCACTCAGGTTCATGGGGCTGATTCCAGCTTTTCCATTCCATGCACTCACCTCTCCACCCTCCCTTGCACTGCCTTCCCCTCCGGTAAGGTCACAGGTCTCCACATCCCCACTCTCCGCAACAACCTCCTCTCCCACCGTGAGCTCCAAGGTGTTGGTATCACTGCCATATACCCCGGTTATGCCAATTACTGTGATCTCTACCAAACCTCCTCCGGTCGCTTCCTTCTCCGCATTCCGCTTTGCCCCCGCACTCGCCTCTACACACTCCGCACGCCTCGCCCATCCTTCTGCCACGTCACCACTCGTTCCGGTGCTTCCACCGGTCCACCTCCTCCTCCTTTACTTCCCCCTTCCCCTCCCCCTCACGTATCCTCTTCTCCCTCCCCACCATCCTCCTCCTCCCCTCCCGTTCCTTCCATCACCCCATCTCCCTCCTCCTCCACTACCCTCTCCCACCCTGCTGTCCTCTTACACCACAGACTCGGCCATCCCAACTTCACCGCCCTTCGCACCACAGTCACCTCTCGCCTCCTCCGCAGCCTTCCTCCTGTTTTACCTCCCCTCCCCTCCTCCCCCTCTCCCCCATGCCCTTCATGCATTCACGGCAAGCTCAAACAGTCCCCCCACCAGAGTCATCCCACCTTCGCCGCCGCCCCCATTGACCTTGTGCACATGGACCTCTGGGGCCCCTATCCCATCCGCTCCCGCCAGGGGTATCGGTACATGCTCGTCCTCGTTGACGACCACAGCCGGTACTCCACCACCTTCTTCCTTCACACGAAAGACCAGGTGCCGGCAGGTGGTCATCAACTGGGCCGAACAGTGCCGCAATCACTTCAAACGCCCCATCGGCCGCCTTCACTCTGACGGTGGGGGTGAGTTCATCAATAACACCCTTGCCACATACTGCAACACCTACGGCATCCAACAGACCTCCACCCTTCCCCACTCCCCTCAGCAGAACGGCATTGCTGAGAGCCGCATTCGTGAGATCACCAAGATAGCTCGCTGTCTCATTGCTCATGCCTCCACCCCTCCTTCCCTCTGGAGCTATGCCCTCCTCCACGCCGCTCTTCTCCTTAATCTCCGCTCCCACCCTCAGCATCCTTCCTCCTCCCCTACAGAGCTTTGGTCCAACGCCAAACCCGACGCTGCCGGCCTTCGCGTTTGGGGCTGCAAGGCCTTCGTTTCTCATCCCACCCGCCGACCGCTCCCGCGCCGCTGGCAAGCTTGCTCCTCGCGCCCTGGAATGTGTTTACCTTGGGCACAATCGCGACTCCCCAGGCTACCTCTTCCTCCACCCTCCCACCAATCGCCTCATCCGCAGCGGCGACGTCGTCTTCGGCGAATCCGTCCCCTATTACTCCACTCCTCCCCCTGATCCTCTCCCTCCTCCCACTCGTCCCCTTGCTTGGACCGACACCGTCCTCCCGCCCCTTCTCCCTCCAGCCCCTCTCCTCCCACCCGTCGCAGCTCCGCTCCCGCCCTCCTCCTCCGCCGATGTCTACGACCCTGCCGCACCCGCTTCCCCCGCTCACTCGGCCGCACCCCCTCCCCCCCCTCCCTCCTCCTCTCCCTCTCCCTCCTTCCAGCAGCCGGATAGGCAGCAGCAGCAGCAGCAGCCGGGCCAGCAGCAGCAGCAGCAGCGGCAGCCGGGACAGCAGCAGCAGCAGCAGCAGCAGCAGCAGCAGCAGCAGCAGCAGCGGCAGCCTAGCAGCAGCAGCAGCCTCAGCAGCCGCAGCACCAGCACGGTCAGCCGCAGCTGCAGCAACAAGGGCAGCAGCTTCCGCAGCACCAGCAGCAGCAGCGGCGTCGTGCCACTTCCCGTTCCTCCCCCTTCCTCCTCCCTTACATCCATACCCGCTCTGTGGACAAAATCCTTGGGGCTCCTCCTCCTGCCTCCATTCAGCTCCTTGAGGACTCCCATGAGGAGTTTCTTAACATTCGGGAGCACACTCCATTCCTTGCCGCCCTCTACCTTGACTTCCTGGGCTTTCCTGTCCTTGGCGCCACTACTACCCCCACCATCTTCACTCCCTCCACCTTCCAGGAAGCCATCACCTGCCCTGATGCGGATAAATGGATAGCAGCGATCTTCCTGGAGTGTGAGGCTTTCATTCGCAACGACTCCTTTGTCGATGTCCCCCTCCCTGCTGGCGCTAATCTCGTTGACGGCAAATGGGTCTTTCGGGTGAAGCAGCTGCCGGGCGAGGAACCAGTGTACAAGGCCCGCTACTGCGCCAAGGGGTTCACGCAGACTTGGGCTGAGGACTACTGGTTCACCTACGCCCCCACCGCCAAACCACCCACCCTTCGCGCCGCCATGGACATTGGTGCACGTGACGACATGGAAATCGACTCCATGGACGTCTCCAATGCGTTCCTGCAGGGCGACCTGCATGAGCGCATTTTCCTCCGGCGACCCCCCGGGTTCCACGCAGCCTTTCCTGAGAACACTGTCTGGCAGCTGCGTCGCCCCGTCTACGGCTTGAAGCAGGCACCGCGTGAGTGGCATGCGAAGCTGGCTGCCACCTTGGGGTCCCTCGGCTTCTCAACTTCCCACTCCGACGCCAGCCTCTTCATCCGCTCCTCCCCCCGCCGCTTCTTCATTCTGGTATATGTCGACGACATGATCCTGCTCTCTGACACCAAGGCCGACATGGGGCAGGTGAAGCTGTCCCTGCAGCAGCGGCACAAGTGCAAAGACCTTGGCGCCCTCACTCACTACCTCGGCATGACCATCACGCGCAACCGCCCTGCTCGCACAATCACCCTCTCCCAGTCCCATTACATCGGCCAGGTCTTGGAGAAGTTCGACATGGCGCAAGCCAAGCCTGTTTCCACCCCGCTCCCCTTCGGTCACCAACTCGCTCCACCCACCTCCCCCACCTCCTCCCCCCACCCCTATGCCGAGCTCGTTGGGTCCTTGATGTACGCAATGATGTGCACCCGCCCCGACCTCGCCTACCCCATCAGCGTGCTCGCTCGCTTTGTCGGCTCCGGTCGTCACTCTGAGGAGCACTGGAAAGCTGCCAAGCGGGTCCTCCGCTACCTTCGCGGGACCAGGGACCTTGCTCTCACCCTCGGCGGCCCTTCCCGTCCCCTTCTCTCGGGCTTCAGTGACTCCTCATGGGCTGACACGCAGCCGGACCGCCGCTCCTCCCAGGGCTACAGCTTCACCCTTGGCAGCGGCCTCATCAGCTGGCGCTCCACCCGCTCCTCCGCCATCTCTCTCTCCACCTGCGAAGCCGAGCTCTACGCTGGCACCATGGCCGCCCAGGAGTCACGCTGGCTCTGCTTCCTTCTTGCGGAGCTTGGCGCCCCCCCAGACGTGCCCCACTCTCTGGTGCGACAACGCCAGCACCATCCATCTCACTCAGGACCCCGTCTATCACGCCCGCTCCAAGCACATCGAACTCCGCTACTTCTTCGTTCGCAGAGCTCGTCCAGAAGGGCCTCATTGCCGTTCGCAAGATTGCAACCGAGGCCAACTTGGCCGACATCTTCACTAAGGCCCTCCTTCGCCCCGCGCACTCTGCCTTCCTCCGCCTCATTGGCCTTGCTCGCCCGGGCGCCCCTTGATTCAGGGGTTGTTCTCTTCTTGTGTTAGCATGCTAAGGGGTTGTGTTAAAATATATATTGTGTAGCATGCCAACACATGTGACTGTACACCAATTGTGGTGTACAGTTGGGTTGGGACTACACCCAACTTTGGGTGTAGTCTTGCACTTTGGGGTGCCAATCCACCCAATTGAGGTTACCCCAAGCCAAGTGGGCCTAGGGTTGCCTCACTTCTACAAAGTGTGGGCAACCCAACCCACTTGACCTATGGTTCCCTCACTTCCCCAAGTGAGGTCAACCCAACCTATGGTCACTTTCATCCTTCCCTTCCAACCTTCCCTTCCAACTATGTATGCTAGGTTGTTCCTCTAATCTAATTACTTGTTCAATTCACAATCTTCACACCTAGAGCCTCCCCCTCCCCTCCTCCCCCCTTCTGCCTCTGACTCACTGTCCATAGCTGCTGCAGCCCCACCCCCTGTGAAACACCCCACTATCGCCCCTCCCTGCATGGCCTTGCGCAGGCGCCTGGTTTCCAGCAGCGAGGGGGAGAGCAGAGAGGAGGAGAGGGAATGATCAAGTGACAGGCTCCCGTCAACCCTGGCAACAGCAGGACTTTCGGTATCCCAATCAGTGACACCAGCAGCAAGCATGAGATCGGAAGAGAAGCTGCTGGCGGGAGGGGTGGAGGGGCGAGGGGGCGTGGCAGGGGGAGCCGTGGTCACTCGCATGGATCTTGACTTGCTAAAGCCCCATCGCTGCGACCCCCAGCCTCGAGAGGACGAGGAGGAAGACGAGGCGGAGGAGGGAATTGAGGGGATGGAGGAGGGCAGGGAGGAGAGCGCGGAAGAGAGCGCGGAGGAAGAGGAGGAGTGGGGGTCGGTGGTGTCTGTGGAAATGAATGAGTCTGTGCTGACTTGACGGGCTACAGAGGAGGCAGCGGAGGAAGTCCCGGGATGGATGAGGAGGAGGAGGTAGAGGAAACGGCTGAGGAGGATGGTGGGACGGATTTAGAGGTTGCAGCCGCGCTGCTGCTGGTGTTACCCTGCCTGCTGCTGCCCCCAGTGGCACTTCTCTTGCTGCTGCTTCTGCTACCGCTGTTGGTGCTCCTCATGCTGCTGCTCCGCCCCTGATCGCTCCCCTCCGTCTCGCCTTGTCTCTGTCTGCCACTACTGCAACTCTTGCTGCTCCGTTTCCTCGCTTCCCCTGTGGCCCCCTCTAACCCTGCCTCCCCCTGTGCCTCCCTCTCCTGTTCTCCATCCCCCAGCCTATCCCTCATAGCCCTTGTTTCGTCTAATCCCTCCCCAGTCGCCTCTCTTGCTCCCCGTCCCCCCCCACTCGCCTCTTTTTCCCCCAATCCTCCCCCCACGTCCCCCCTTGCTTCCCCCCGCCCCAGCCTGGACGAGCGGGGGGAGTCAGCGGGGGAAGGGGTACCAGCGGGGGAGAGGAACGGGAGGCCCTGAGGGGAGAAGCACCCAGAGGCTTGCCTGGGGGAGCCGCGACCAGGGGAGGCTCGACTGGGGGAGGCGTCACTTGGGGAGAGCCGGCCAGGGGAGGGGCGACCAGGGGAGGAGGAAGCACAGCTAGCCACCACAAGCCTGTCTGCCTGCGGGCTGCAGCTCTGGCTCTTACAAACCCCACCGCCGCTGTTTCGCATGCTCTCTTTCCCTCTCCGCCCTCCGCCCCCCTGCTGCTGCAGGAAGGAGTTGTCAGATCGAGAGGAGGGGATGCGCGGTCGGGAGTAGGTGGCGGGAGGGGGAGGTGTGGGAAGACGAGAGGGGGAGGAGGAGGAGGAATCAGAAGGACCAACAGCAGCTCCAGCACCAGCAGCAGAGCCAGACGCATCTGACCCTTTGAACCGGCTACTACTGGGTCTGGATCTGGTGGGGCGACCAGAGGAGGGCCTGCTGGGGACTCTAAAGGGAGACTCAGTGCCGCTGGTGCTGTTGATGCCGCTGGTGTTGCTGCCACCGCAATCACCACCACTGTCTCTTCCATTGTGTACACTTGTCACTGCTGTCGTTTCAGCAGTAGGCGCGGTTTGGGCTCGTGGAAGCTCGTTCTCCTGCTGCAGCTTGCTCCTGCTTCTCACTCTACCACTACTGCTAGACGCCGCACCCTGACTGCTCTTCTTCGCCCTACCGCCTCCTGTCCTACTCTTACCACACTGCTCCGCTTCACCCAACTCCTCCTCCCTCCCCGCCTTCATTCCACCCCTCTCCTCCAGGCTCTGACTCTGCTCCTCCCCGTCCCTGCCATCCGTCCTCCCCCTCTCCCTCCTCCCAGCACCCCCCTTCCTCTCCACCCCCCCACCTTCAGACCGAGACACAGGGATGGCAGAGGGCAGGGAAACGGCGCTGGCAGGGGACTCGGGGGGAGTCACGAAGGCAGGGCTGCCTGTGCCGTCACTGCCGCCATTCACACCACCGCCGCCACCAGCACTACCTGTGCTGCTGCTCTTGTGTATACTCATGGTAGTGGCCGTGCTTGTGCCCCTGCTGCCCTCTCCTTCCCCACTGGAGCAAGCAGCAGCAGCAGAACCACTGGCACCAAGTTCGGCAGCAGCAGATGCAGCAGCAGCAGCGTTGGCAGTGGCAGTGGCAGCAAACGATGTAGCAGAGGCGGAGACAGTAGCAGCAGTGGGCGCGGGCGTGTGTGGTCGATTACACTGCAAGCCCTTCTCCCGCACAACACTGCTACCACTCCGGCCTCCCTCCACATCCGAAGCTGCTGAAACTACTGACACTGCTGAAGCTACTGGAGCCGCCTCACCACCCCTCGGCGTTTGCGCCCGTCTAGCCTGGCACGAGTCATCATGCACTTTAGTCACCTCCCCCCCAAACCAGTCCTCATCTCTCTCATCCATGCCGCACGCCTTGCGGAACTGGCGCTCCGCCTCAGCCACCTTCTCTGCTACGAGCTGGGTGTAGTCGAGGGACGCGGGCACCTGCGTGGACACACAGCCGATGGGCGACTCCACCCCGCATATGCGGCACAGGCCCAGGAGCACGTCCACTAGAGTGGCGTTCACTGCCTGCAGATTCGCAAAGTAGAACGTCTGGAGGGTAATGGGCGGGGGACGAGACAGAGGGTCACAGAGGGGATGAGACGTCTCACTCTCACACCTGTGTGGAGGCACAGCCGATGGGCGACTCCACTCCGCAGATGCGGCACAGGCCCAGGAGGCGCACGTCCACTAGTGTGGCGTTTACCGCTTGCACATTCGCAAAATAGAAGGTCTGGGTGGTGGGAAGGGAGGGAACGGGGGAACGGGTTGGAATAGGGCGGGATGGGAGGGATGTGAGTGGGGAGGGATGTGAGTGGGGAATGAGGCACTTCTAACTGCTCAGCGGCAGCAGCAGCAGCAGCAAAAGCAGCATCAGGGGTGCAAGCAGTGCATATCAGCAGCGACTGGCGGATCCACCCACCTGCACTTGGAAAACCGTCTCCAAGGAGTCAAGAGAGGCCCCCGGCTGTGCAGCGAGTGCCAGATGATGGTGTTGTGCGCCATGGTGGGCAGCAGCAGCAGTGCAAGGGAATTCGTGAGTCATAGCCATACACCTGGCACAACCAGCCTCGAACCACCCACCTGCACTTGAAACACTGCCTCAGAGGAGTCAAGAGCAGCACCAGGAGTGTGCAGCGAGTGCCAGGTGATGGTGTTGTGCGCCATGGTGGGCAGAAGCAGCAGCCCGCGCTTGAGGTTCGCCTCCACTCGCCCGTCCGCCTGGAAGTTGAGTGCGTCCTGCAGCTGCACGCGCAGCAGGTACTGGATGTTGCGCGGCAGCATCTCGTACAGCTCGTCCCTGCGTGTAGCAGAGGGAGGGGGTTAGGCGAGAGGGAGTTTGGAAGGAGAAATGGGGGAAACAAGGAGGTGAAGTTAAGTGCGCCCTGCAGCTGCACGCGTAGCATCTCGTACAGCTCGTCCCTGCATGCAACGTGGGGAAGAGCGAGTGTAAGGGCGGGCAGAGGGAGTGGGGCAGGAACGAGGAGGGGTTGAAGTTGAGTGCGTCCTGCAGCTGCACACAAGGGCACGTGATGCTAGCATGCCATGCCATACCACGCCATGCCATTCCTTTACCTGGTGGGTCCCAGCACTTCATCCGGCTGCTGGTTGATCCGTTCACTACCACATTGGCATAGTGCAGCGCGAGCTGATAGCACCACCATGCCATGTCATGGTATGCCATACAGCCCTACCCTGGTATGTCTGAGCCCTATCGCACCTTGTAGGCCCTAGCACTTCGTCCGGCTGTTGGATGATCCGTTCCAGCAGCACCACCACATTGGCGTAGTGCAGCGCGAGTCCCGCCTCTCCCACACACGCCTCCCGGATGCGTGGCGGACACATGCCGTGCCCAAACGCTGCGAAGATCTTCTTGCGCACGTAGCATGCTGCAATGATGAGCAGCTGGCGCATGAGCGCGCGCGGGGGGGGGAAGGGGGATGGGGGGGAAGGGTGGTGAGAGGGGGGAGGGTAGGAGTGAGGTGCGGAGAGGGAGCTTGAGGTGGAAGCGGTTGTAGGAGATGCTAGTTCTGACGCGTCTTGATGCTTATGCTGTTAACGGTGCTTCGAGGCGCACCCACCTGCACGAGGAAGTCGAGGTGGTAGGCCCAGAGGCAGTGGCCCTGCAGCTTCTGAGGTGCCCATGGGCACGGGGAGGGGAACCAATGCTTGCACGTCAACCTGCACTAGAGGCGCGTCACAAGGCGCACCTACCTGCACGAGGAAGTCGAGGTGGTAGGCCCAGAGGCAGTGGCCCTGCAGTTTCTCCACCAGCTTGCCCTGCGTCACCATATCCTGCAGCGAGTTCCACTCCCCGTACTCCTGAATGCTGGCAGGCGGGAAATGGGCGGAAAGGGGGTGGGTGGGGTGGGGGGGGGAATGACAGGCGTGTCAGCAGCAGCAGCGGCGCTACCAGCTTGCCCTGAGTAACCATCTCCTCAAAGGGGTACATGTACTGGGGAAGAAGGGGCAGGGGACAAGGGGTACGGGTGCGGCGGGAATGACACCATCCCCCCGCCACTTCCCCGCCTCCATTTCCCCCGTTCCATTCCATTCACCTCCTCCCTCTCTCCCCCGCCCCACATCCCACGTCCCCCCTCCCCCCACCCCTCTTTCTCATGGCGCGCGCTCACCGGCTGTGTAGCTCCTGGATGGACTCCATCTCGCTCTTCAGCTCGCTCGTCGCTTCCGCTTGCTCGCGCATGAACCTGCCGTGCCACACCGTGCCACACCGTGCCACACCATGAAGTTCAAGTACCACGCCATGCGTGAAAGCAAGGAACGGGAACGGAACTTATGAGAACAAGACTCGCGACACCATAATCTCTCATTATTATCACCCACATCACAGGACTCAAGCTATACCTGATAAACATCGTATCACTTGAAAGACACCTCCCCTTCAGCTCACCTAAGAAGCACCTCCCCTTCAGCAGAAGACGCGGCGAACATCTTATAATCGGCATCTGTGCTGTCGAGCCGCGCAAAGAGTCGCTCGAGTCGGTGCAGACGCGATTCCCGGCACTTGCGACCCAACACCGCGACGCGGCATGCGACTGATCGCAGCTCTTGGTGCTTCTCGTAACCCGCGAGGCCCCATAGTACTCTAAGGTCGCTGGAGATTAAAGTTACCACGCCAGGCGCCTGCGCGGAGCGAAGCCACAAGGGGAACTATGAGATTCATGCATACTGAGGCTCGTCGGAAAGAGGGGAGAAGTTAAGGCAGGGAGGAGTAAGGGAGACCTGGAGCAGAGACCGTTGACTAACGATAAGAACGCTGACCAAAAGTCGCACGCGAATGGAGCCACGTGTAGCAGCTACGGGAAAAGAGCTGCAGGACCACACTAACGGCGTATAACGAGGAAAACCTTATCGGACCTGAAGGTTGGCGCGCAGCGATGAGAGCATTTTCTCGGACATGGAGTCGCATATTTCGAGCGTGCGACGCATGATGGCTCCTATCTCGAACGCGAGCATTTCCGTAGGAACCTCCTTCCCCGTCCCCCCCCTCCCATCGACGAGCGGCTCCACCGACGTGTCGCCATAGAACGACCGTTTAACGATCTTCTTGAGCGTTGACTCGCCTAGCGCTGCAATCGACGGCGATCCGAGTCGAATAGGGGAGTCTGGTCGTTGATCTCCTGCGGCAGAGTCTTTTCCGCTAAGAGGGGACTTATCTCCGCTGTTTTCATTATCCCCCTTTCCCCTTCTCTTGAAGCTGGTGCTATGGGTAAATACCCTGTTTATCGTCTGAAGCATGACTGCATGAGTTAGAAGCTGCGAGAACGTATATTAAATCATTTTTGAATGAGTAAGCAAGAGTGAAGGCAATAACATTTGGCCGTGAGCTTAGCAGCAATTGTGCTTCTAAACTTGAACGACCTAACTACACAGAAAGGTCACGTAGAACACCCCACAATCGAAACCCTAATGTGGATGATGTTATTATGAGGCTAACTGGCCCGCCTTGCACAATCTCCCTTTCTTCGTCCTCGATTGCTGCTCTGTGGAGTTTCCCAAGAAATCCTCCCGAGTTTCTTGCGAAACCGACGACCGCTGCCACTGGAGAGTCAGTGTCGAAGGAAAGAGCATAATCTCTACCTGGAATTGGTCGATGTGGGTCGTGTCGTGCTGCGCCGGGCGGTTGGGTGTTTGATAAACCTTTATTGCAACTGCAAGCAAACCAGAGGAGGAACCTTGACTTGGATGTGAGGTGCAGTGAACCAGGTTTCAATCCTGAAAGACCAGTAAAATAAGCCCCAACTTTGTTTCAACGTGCCGAAGCGCAGGGCAGATTTCACCCCTGCCACTGCCAAACTTTGTGCTCCCTGCTTCACCTGGCCCTCGTCCAACGACCTTGACTCCAGCCATCCAAATATGCTGCTCCCCACCCCAGAGCTCAGCAATGATGAGGATGATGATTTCAATAGGAATATTATTGTGCATCTAGTGATAATAATGTACAGACAATAATATGCTCCCTATTACTAATTCTCAAGAGTAGTATGTATGATATGTCATTTAGAACGTATTTTTGTTTGAAATAATGCAAAATTTATGGATACTCTGATTACTGGTAGCCTACAAATCAAATGGGTATTTGAGATGCCGCTGATTTGGTGGAGATAAGATATGCAAGATTGGTCAGTGTGCATTCACTCACACATATCTGCAGTGAGCATTCACTAGATGCACGAACACGAGGATGTAGGGACATTTGCAGTACCGTACCCAACCGTTGCAGGCAGTGACAGAAACGCTTTGCCGCGCAGATCATCTTACCGAACCGCAAGTGAAGTCGTCAAAACGCCCTTCAGGGGGGGACGAGATGAACGCAGAATGGTGATGCCACTGTCCGCGGCGGGCCGAGACCTTGGGGGTGCCGCCCAGCTAGAGCCCACTGAAAGAACCACAAGAGAGCTGCAGCCCGCATCTCATCACCTAGCTCCCTCACTTTCCTTTCGCCACCGCCATTTTGCCCACTCGTGCCATTCTCCAGTTTTCTGCTCCACCACATAGTTCACAAGCTTTATCAATACAATCCGCCTGATGCATGACTCGATATCCATAGCCTTGTTTTGTCCGAGCTTTGCTCAACTCGCGCGGATGAATCAGGCTGCGTTTTTTGCTCATGTGCAAGAGCGTGATAGATCAGACATTCTCCTGGCGTGTAGAAACTCAGGGGTGCCTTGGCTTTCACGAGTCAGAAACGCACTTGAACACTTGATGACTTTCGATCAGTTTACAGTTGGGCGTTATTCTTTATACCTTAACCCGGAGACGCAAGCTTAGAACAGGCAACCTTAGAGATAGCATTTAGTGGTGCTTCCAAGCCACGTCAACGATTACTTATTACTGGTGATTAAAGGCCGCACTAGTGAACCATAAGTCATCCTTCAATGGATGACACCAACAGAGATAAGTCACCGCTTAAGGTGGTCCGCTGGGGCGAGTCATCGCATTCAGGCTCTAATACTCAGGTGGGACTACAGACGAAACCGCGTAAGGGAAGAAAAAAGTCATCTAGTGGTAGTCTTACGACTTTTGAGTTACCAGTTACCAGCTGTGGCGAATCAGCTGTGGATCTCGCCGATGCGTTCGCAGTTCATCCACCTCCCGCGCTTCCACCGCAACAGCAGCACAAGGCAGAGCAGCAGCAGGTTCAGTCTAGGGAAGCCGGACGGCACACGCGTAGCGAGGTACCGTTGCGTGATCCGGAGAATCAGGGCGCGAAAACGACTCGTTCTCCACCCAATAGCGGGGAATTTGCGGTCGTTGGTGCGCTCACAGAGGGGCAGGCGGATGATTCGGGGCAAACTGGCGGCAGCGGCGCAGGAAAACGCGGGAAAAAAGGGCGGAAGAAGAGCCAGAGCGCCGCGTCGCTTCAGCCTTACGAGGCCGCACAGCTGGATGGTTACATGCAGCCAGGCGGTTACATGCATCCTGGCAGTTTCTCGCAACTTCAGGGAGGTTACTTACAAAACGGTTACAACGTGCAGCTGCAGCAGCCGTCGGCAACGCAGAAGACCCAAGACGAGTGGACGCTTCTAGCAGACGGAGAGGAAACGGCCGAGCCTGGTTACCAGCCGGCTGTTCCCTTCGCTAGTTCGCAATCCGTAACTGCCGGTCCGCACACGTCAAAGCCTCTGAACCATGGGGTATCTCAGAACGCGCGGCAGCAGAGGGCGTTGGCGGAAAGCGTAGGGGAGTCATGTGATGGTGAGCGGGAGAGAAACGATAGGAACCTTCCGACAGAGAGGCTTCCGATTCAGGCGCCGCCAGGGGAGCTCGTGATGCTTCCGCGGAGCAAATCGGAAGCGGGTAGGGGCGGGGTTGCGCTTAGGAGGGGGAGAGCCCGCGCGGGAGCAGCCGCGGTTGGGTCCGTGGGCTCTGAGGCGGAACTCGCGCAGGGGGTTGTGCGGCGGGCGTCGCTGGGGGAACTGGAGGCAGAGGAGGGGAGTGATCGGATGGGCGTGGTCGCACAGAGGGCGCGTGCGACGGGTGCGAAGGCACGGAGGCGACAGCCGAGCGAGGATAGCACCAGCAGCACCAGTGGCAGCAGGGGTAGCAGCGGAAGTTCGGTGGGAGGTAGGAGCATGATACACTCTCACCCGCAGCAGCAGCCGCAACAGGAGGAGCAGCCGCAGGAACAGCAGACGAAAACGAAGCAGCAGAAGCAGCACAGGAGAAAGAAGTCAGGGGGGGATGTGACCGCTGCTGCTGCTGCCGCTGCTGCTGCTGCTGGCGCACAGGTCGGGTTGCCTGCAGGAGGGGAAGGCAGTGCGGGTGGGGGCTATGGAGAGTATGTTAATGGATGCCATTTGGGGTTCGGTCATTCAGGAGGAAATGGTGCTGGGGGGATTGTTGGGGGCTTTTCAGGGGGGGGATTTTCCGGTGGAGGCTTTTCAGCAGGACTTCAACTAGGAGGCAACGGTGGGGGCGGGACTGGTGTGGAGGGGGGAATTGCAGCACTATATGCGTCCCTGGTGGCTGTACACCCGCCCCTAATCTCCAAATCCGGCCGACAGGTCGTTCGGGTAAGAGGAAGTTCGCTTGTCCTTCGTTCCTTTGCTCTCCGTACCTGTCTGCAGCGCTATATGCAACCCGTCTGGCCGCCCATCCTCCCCTGATCTCCAAATCCGGCCGACAGGTCATTCGGGTAAGAGGCTGTTTGTCCGTCCTTTGCACCTGCATGTGCCCCCTCCATTCCACCTCCCCGAAACCAGAAACCCCCACCTGGCATTCCCGTATTGCCCACGGTCACGTGCTAATCGCCCCGTGTCTTTCGCCTTCTCCCTTCCTCTCCCCCACACGCAGGGCCAGTGGTGCTCCCAGATGCTGGCAGTGCCGGCACAGATTCTATTGTCTCATCATTCGAATTCCCTCTTTCTTCCTTCTTTTCTCCTTTCTCCCTTCCCGTCGCTCAAACGCAGTGCCAGTGGTGCTCCCAGATGCTGGCAGTGCCGGCGCAGCTGCAGCCGTCTCACAAGGGAAGGCAGAGGCTGCGGTGCAGCAAGTGCATGCGCGTGTCCAAGTACTCTGTCACTCTGCCGCCTCACCACACGCCTGGCCTGTCTTCTTTCTTCTTTCTTCTTCCTTCTTCCTTTACCCCGCCATCTCCCACATACAGTGCCAGTGGTGCGCCCAAATGTTGGCAGTGCCAGCGCAGCTACAGCCGTCACACGAGGGAAGGCAGAGGCTGCGGTGCGGCAAGTGCATGCGCGTGTCCAAGTACTCTGTCACTCTGCCACCGCACGACATGCCCGGCCTGCCCCTCCTTATTCCTGTTGAGAGCGCACAAGAAGGGGGTGGTGCGCAGGCCAAGGTGCAGCTTCTGGAGCAGCAGCAGCAGCAGCAGTTTTTGAGTCAGCAGCAGCAGGCACAGCAGCAGCAGCAGCAGCAACAGCAGCATGAGCATCAGTTGCAGCAGCAGATGACAGCACTTGCTTCCCAGGGGAACGAGCAGGCGCTGGTAGAAGGGGAGGTCGCTGGGAACGACGATGAGGACCAACATTGGCAGCAGCGGCCGCAGCAGCAGCAGCAGCAGTGGGAATTGCAGCAACAGCAGTTCCTGCAGCAGCAGCAGCAGCAGGTGCCGATGCCGACGCAGGTACACGCAGGTGGCATGCCAGGACCGCGATTCCCTGCTCCAAGTGCTGCAATTACAGGAGCAGCCATTGCAGCAGCATCCTTGGCCACGGGCTCGCCAGCCTACCATGGCATGGCGCCACAAGGCATGCAGCCTATGCTGCAGCAAGGGTTCCCACAGGGAGGTGCTTTTCCAGGGGGAATGAGTCCACCGCAGCAGCTTTCCCAGCAGCAGCCATTGCAGCAGCAGCTGTTGCAGCAGCAGCAGTTTGGTCATATTCAGGATGGTGGGGGGTTGAGACCCATGGGGCAGCAGCAGCAGCAGCAGCAGTGGGTAAATGGTGTGCCCCCTTCTGCTGTGAATGGGGCGGTGCAGCAGCTGAATGGCATGGCCCTATCCAATGCTCGTCCTCAGCAACTGTACACGTTGCCACATGCGCCAATGCAGCCATATCGACCGCAGCAGCCACCACAGCAGCAGCTGCAGCAGTTTCAGCAGCAACAGTACCAGCTGCAGCAGCAGCAGCAGCAGCAGCAGCAGCAGCAGCAGCAGCAGCAGCAGCAGCAGCAGCAGCAGCAGCAGCAGCAGCAGCAGGGGCAGGGGCAGCAGATTCAGTCACAGTACCAGCAACAGCCCATGATCCCGCAAGTGTCTACTTCCGTTACAGGCGAATCCAATGTGGGTTTACCAAAGGAAGGTGAACCCTGTCAGGGGTATCCAGGTGGGGGTTACTACCAGCACCCCCAGTATATGCCCGTCAGACCTCAGCAAGATACCGTGCAACCATTGTTGCAGCAGCAGTCGGGCTTGCAGCAGCAGGCTCGGTCCCAGATGCAGATGCAGATGCAGATGCAGATGCCGATGCAGATGCCGCAACTAGATTTACAGCAGTGGCAGCAACAGCAGCCGCAGCAGCAGCAGCAGTGGCAAGGAGCTGGGCAAGGGAGTTTCAGTCAGCTTGGTGTTGTCAGTCAACAGGACGCGCAGCAGCTGCAGCAACAGCAGCAGGGGCTGGCAGCTCAACAGTCCCTGCCCCGCAGAGCATCACAGGGAGCAGCAGGCGAAGCTCAGCCTTCAGCCAAGCACATCCGCAAGTCCAGTGGTGGTTCTGACTCTAGTGCCTCTGGCGTTGCACCTGCTCTCAGAATGCCTGCCAGTGGAGCAGCAGCAGCAGGAGGGGCAGGAGGAGGAGCAGAAGGAGGAGTGGCAAGAGCGGCTGGAGAAGATGAGAACGGAGAGGAGGGAGTCCCAAGAACAGCATCAGGGAAGCGGTTTCAGCGGCAGGCACGAGACATGCTGGCAACAAGGCGTGTCACTGTGGGTCCGGGTGGTAAGCTGGCTACTGTTCCTTCCTCTCGTGCTGCTCCTCAGTCACAGGGAGGAGCAGCAGGTGGAGGGACGGCAGGCGATGGTGCTGGTGAAGGGGGGGGGGGGGTGGAGCTTCGGCGAACAGCAACAGATAGGAAGGGAGCGAGTGCGAAGGGGGTGGGAGGGGGAGCAGCAGTGCTGATGCCAAGGAGCAGGACAATGAGTGTGGGTGGGGATGCGCAGTACCGGAGAAAGGTGGTTGTGAATGGGGTGCCTGTGCCGGACCAAAGGGTGCTTGTTGCAGAGCAGAGGATTGGGAAGATCGAGCCTGGGAATTACTGGTGAGAAAAAGTTGTGTTTGTTATTTTGTGGTTCCATTGTTTATGGGACAACCTGAGCACTAGTCAGTTAGTTGTGCGCGGCTGCTGTTGTCTTTGTGTACGCAGGTATGACTGCAGAGCTGGATTCTGGGGGCCTGTGGGGAATGTGTCGTTGGGCGTCATTCCTGTGAGCATTTTTTATTTCTAGGTGCATGCTGTATGGATCTGTTGTCGTGCCATGTCACTTACCATATTCTTACCCCTCATTCAATTTCAGGCTTTCATGCGTGAGCTAGGCAATGCCCCCATGCTTATGGATTGCTCAGGCGGTAAGAGCAAGATATTGGTGAATGGACGAGAGCTGCATCGAAAAGATGTCAAGATCCTGGCAGAAAAGGGGTTTCCCGAGACATTGGGAGGCCGGTACACGCTGGATGCGGATGGCACTCTGGTCAATGAGTTTGGACGAGTGGCGGCTAACCTTGGGAGCCTGTAAGTTTGTAGGGTTGGTTGGGAGACACCCAAGTTTTTGTTCAAAATATGGGCCTAATTTATTTTTGTTTTGTGCAGGTTGGAGGATGACAAGAAGGATGGCTTATTTATGAAAGCTGTGTAGGAGATCAAGGTCAAGCAGAAGAAATAACGTTTGACAGGAGCACCCTAAATCAAACAGTGAAGCGTGTGGTAATGTACAAAATCTCGCATTGCCTGCAGCCCCTTCTATTTCCCCCAAATGTCGGTTGACGTTTCTTCGCATCTGTAACGGCTTTCACCAAATCGTCGCAGACCGAGAGAATTGCTCCAGTGCCTTGTTTGGTGATTCGCTCTTGCCCACGTGTCACCGAATTGCTCGAGTGGCCATCCAATTCAGTGATAATTGCTCGAGTGGCCATGCTAGGGCATTTTCGAGGTGTTTTTTTCCCTGGCACATAACCCTACAAGGGTTCGTACCCCCGAAATTCCTCGTTCGCACAATAGTAGATGCGCGGTCATTTTCGGCCCGATGCGCGACCAATGAGCGCGTGGGCAATTACATCAGCGATCATAAACTGCAACGCCAGAGCATAAATGCACGAACATATTATTGACCGCGCACGACTCGTCGATAATATGCTTCTTGCCCTTTTTGGCAATGCGCGTCCAATCACGCACGGTCATATAATTCACGACCATATATTTAGGCGATAAAGGGTCGCCCAACAACCAATATGAGTGCGCATATACTACCATAAGTTCTATCATATTTCCGGTCCATATAAAACCATGTATATCAAATGCCATAAATATATTCTCTGCTATCAATTTAATCCCATCATAACCGTGGTGGCAGCATATTATGCTGGGCTTAAATTAATATTATGCTGCCGAACGTATGATTTATGCAACCATATTACCGGCAATACAATATTATGGACCACCGTATGATGGGCTTCAATTAATATTATGATAGGCCACGATAAAATATTATGTCTAATATGATGTGCTTAAATTAATAGCAGATAATGTATTTATGGCATTTGACATACATAGTTTTATATAGACCTGACATATGATAGAACTAATGGTAGTATATGCGCGCTCATATTGGTTTTTGGGCGACCCTTTATTGCTTAAATATATGTTCGTGAATTATATGACCGTGCGTGATTGGACGCGCATTGCCAAAAAGGGCAAGAAGCATATTATCGACCAATCGTGCGCGGTCAATAATATGTTCGTGCATTTATGCTCTGGCGTTGCAGTTTATGATCGCTGATGTAATTGCCCACGCGCTCATTGGTCGCGCATTGGGCCGAAAATGACCGCGCATCTACTATTGTGTGAACGAGGAATTTCGGGGGTACGAACCCTTGTAGGGTTATGTGCCAGGGAAAAAAAATACCTCGAAAATGCCCTGGCATGGCCACTCGAGCAATTATCACTGAACTGGATGGCCACTCGAGCAATTCGGGGACACGTGGGCAAGAGCGAATCACCAAACAAGGCACTCGAGCAATTCTCTCTCGCAGACCTATTGCAAAAATCCGTTTCGCTGACGAACAGTGGGCCTCGAGCACACCTTGCTGACGAACCTCGAACTTCCCAGATTTTTGCGCTAAGTCACAACATTGATTTTGGCTCGTTTCCCTTCTGTCAACTCTGGCTCCTGCCGAGCCTCGCAGGACCTTGGCCGGCCTATGCATTTGCTTGCGACAAAAGGAACAGCGCCCACTGGCTCGGCATAAACAGAAAGTATTGACAGCAGCAGCACCAGCAGCAGAAGCAGCACTCCCCCCAGTGCCCTCCCACCCATTTCTGTTCTTTCTCCTTTCACCAACCATTTTCACTCTCCTCACTTCCAGTGCACTCAATCTTTTCGAGAAGTGATCTGGAGCACTTAGCTATGGTGCATCGTCATTTGTCATCGCGGAATCTGCTGGCATATTCCTGATTATACAAGTTTTTGAGACGGGGTAGTACGCAATGACACATCCTTAGGTACCTACAGCCAAGCGTGTCTGTTTTAGGTCGGCGACGCGTTTCATTTCATCCACGGGATTGCTGAAAGGATCATCAACGATAAGGGCGTACTCATTTGAAATGGGATCACGGAAGCTCGCGCACCTTGATCTGTAAAACATCTAGGGATTAATGTATCTTTCCCTTTTTCCCTTAACATAGACCTTTCTCTTATTGCAAAATGGCTAGCCTCCAACCACCAGGTAGGAAGATACGACCTCAGCAAGATCCTTACATTTCTGGTAATGGCTATCACCCCGATGGACACCCACACAGACTATCAACCCCGCAGGGAATGCATTCCGCATCCACCCAACAACAATCACCGATGCCTAACTCCAACTCTGCCTTCCCCCCTCGAACTGGAAGTCTGTCGAACTCCCACATGACGCCACCCGACGCCTGGGACGGCCGACAGGCTCCTGACCAAAATCACATTCCGCAAAACCAATCTCAATCTTTCCCACAAGGAATGCAAGTTGGAGCCCAGCAGCACAGCATGCAGCATGGGGTGCACGAGACACCCGCTCAGGGCCAGCGGGGATCCATGCACGTGGATCCCAACACCAGCCTCGCGGCCCAGCGCGTGCTAGCGGCGCACAAGGCGAAGCACCTGCACGTGGAGGTCGATTCCCCATCTGGCGTCCCCTCGCACGGGGGAAACTCAGGCGGGGTTATCGCGGCACAAGAGGGTCCGGAGTTCCGCGAGCCGGCGCAGCAGCAGCAGCAGCTTCCTCCGATTCAGGCTCAGGCGCAGGCGGTTCCAGGCGAAGCGGCTACCGTTCCGCAGCCGCTACTGTCAAAGTCAGGCCGGCCTGTTGTGCGGGTAAGTCGATTAACGCGTGTGATTGTGCAACTTACGGAGAAATCATCATCATCTATTGCTCCTTGCATCGCTCCCTTAATCCACCTCTCGCTTCGTCGTCCACATCCCACACATGTTTTCAATCTCCGGCCTCGTCCCATCGCAGTGCCAGTGGTGCTCCCAGATGCTCGCCGTCCCGCCAAAACTGGAGCCGAGAGACGGAGTTCAGAAGCTGCGTTGCGGAAAGTGCCTCAAAATCTCCAAGTTCTCCGTCTTCGTCCCTCCCGCCGGCGGCGTTCCCGTGCTCATGCCCCTTTCCGCCTCCGGCCCTCTCCCCGGTCCGCCCTCTGTAGCTGTTTCGCGTGGTGCGGGCCAGCAACCTCTGTCTGTGCAGCCGCAGCCGCCGCCGCAGCAGCAGCAGCAAGGGCAGGCGGTGCTGGAGGAGAAGTGGCTGCAGCAGTCACCGCAAGGTGTAGCCCTCCAGGCTTACCAGCAACAGCCGCAGTTCCAACAGCCTCAGGGCGTGGGTCCCGTGCAGCCGCAGCAGGCGCGGCTGCCTTCCCCGCAGCTCATGCAGCAGCAGCAGCAGCAGCATGCAGCGCAGCAGGGTTATGGACAGGGTTCGCAGGGGCTGGTGCAGCAGATGGGCGGGTTGAGCATGGGTGAGTCGTTCAGTCAGCAGCCGTACGCTATGGCGCCTCAGATGCCACAGGGGATGGGCCTGCAGGGAGGGATGCAGCAGAGCTTGGGGCAACAGGGCATGGGGCAACAGGGCATGGGGCAGCAAGGCATGGGGCAACAGGGCATGGGGCAGCAAGGCATGGGGCAGCAGGGTATTGCGCAGCAGGGCATGGTGCAGCAGGGGATGGGGCAGCAGGGCATGGGGCAGCAGGGGATGGGGCAGGTGTATCAGCAGCAGGCTCATGCACCTGGGCATATGCACCCTCCACAACAGCAGCAGGCGGTACCTCAATTCCAGCAACAGATGGCCGGAGGAGCGCAGCAGCAGTATGCCAACTTCGCACAGCCAGGCATGGCTGGGCCTGGAGGGTTTATGCCTCAGCAGCAGCAGCAACAGCAGCTGCAGCACCCTCACCAGCAGCAGCAGCACATGCAATTCCAGCAGATGCAGAATCAGCCCATTCAACAGCAGATGCAGCAGCAGGTGATGCACCAGGGACAGGGTCAAGGGCAGCAGCAGATGGGTCATCTCGTGCCCCCACATGCCTCTCAATCTCCCGTGCAGGCGTCAGGCTTTGCAGCTAGCCCTCTATCCCAGAACCACTCACCCTCCATGCCCATGTACCATCAAAACTCAGGCCCTCCGCAGCAACAACAGCCACTCCACCCGTACCAGCAGCAGAGCCCCATGCAGGGTCGCACTCACATGGGCAAGGTAGCATACGGGCATCAAGCACTCAGACCTCCTCTTTCTGGAGGAAGCATAGGGGGCCACCTGGAGAGCGAGGAGGGCCTGCCAAGGCAAGGGTCGGGGAAACGGTTCCCCAAGCAGCCGCCACAGCCCCCCATGGACCCACAAGCTGCCACCAGACGGTACCTTACAGGCCCAGGAAAGACCCTGGCGTCGTCTATCGGCTTTAGAAGCGCGTCTCTCAACGAGCACCAGATGCAGCAGCAGCAGCACGGGGGTGCGGGGATGGGAGCGCCTGCAGACCTGCCCTTCAGGCGCACAGCCACGGAGTACAGTGGGCCGCCTGGGCGGGCAGATGCGATGACGGTGGCGCCTAGAAGCTCAACGCTGGGCGGCGAGGGGCAGTACCGGCGCAAGGTGTATATGAACGGGCAGCCCGTGCCTGACAAGCTTGTGTTCCTGGCTGAGAGGCGGATTGGAACGATTGAGCCAGGCAGCTACTGGTATGTTGTGCACTGCTTTCTTTAAAACAGGATGGGTGTCTGTTGTGTGCTGAGTCTAGGGTACAACACGCTTCTTGTGGTTTTTCCTGTTTGCGTGCCCAATGGAGGACTGACATGTGTTCGTGCATTGCCTTCTCATTCTTTTCACCCGATCTTGTTTTCCTCCACCTTTTATTTCGCTCTTCGTGCCACGTTCCAGGTACGACTGTCGAGCTGGATTTTGGGGCCCTGTCGGAGGGCCAGCATTCGGAGTTACTCCGGTGAGTTGCTGCTTGGCGTCTGACCAGGCAAATGAAAGTCGCAGGCGAATTTGAGGTGAAAGGAAGCCAAAACTGCAAATTTACACAAGAACGTAACTGTAATTCCCTGATAATTGTCTGATAAATCAACCTTGGTAGAAAAAACAAAGCTGAACAGAGGTTGAATCAGCGTAACAGGGCTGAAATCTGAGGGCCTGCGTGAGGAGAGTTAGGGGCCTGTGAGTGGGTGGTTGAAAAGGGGATGTGCCACAGCAGCAGGCGAAAGTCACTACCTCATTCTGGGCTAGTTTGCCGTGCTGTTTTCTGCCGCGATGCCCAAATGTAGATCCTGTTCTCCCTCCGTTTGCTTGTTCCCCAACAGGCTTTTATGAGGGAGTTCGGCATGCAGCCGATGCAGACTGATTGTTCCGGAGGCAAGACTAAGGTGTTTGTGAATGGGAGAGAGCTGCACAAGAAGGACCTTGTTACTTTGATGAAGAGGGGATTTCCGGACACTCCTGGTGCTCGGTACACTCTGGATGCTGATGGCACAGTCTGCAATGAGGCCGGCCGACACCTCTTTGCCATGGGAAAACTGTAAGTGAAGCTCTATTGTTAAGCCATACTAGTAGTTTGAGAGGTCTGTCAATGTGTACAGCTTGCTAAATTTAGCGTAGACAGTGAGATGCCTGAATCCTGGCCCCTTTCATGCCCCATTGTGCCTTTGTTTGTGCTTCTATCAGGATGGTGGACAAGAAGAAGGGTATGTACATGGTGAAACCCCAATAACACGGAGCTTGCGTCAGCAACAAAGTAAATCATGAGATAAATCACTTACCTAATTGCAGTGGGTGCTTGTTTCAGTCATGTTGCTGATGAACCTGTATTCATAGCAGCTGGCACAGCTGGTGCTCTTGCAACTTGACATTACCTGACTTATTTGAATCCACCAGCCAGGAAGCGACAATCTGCTAAACGTGGTTAGCAGGTGGACTACTGGCTTAGAGTGCATACTATGATAACTGTGGGGAGTTGACTGATATGCCCCACATCCATAACGAAGTTCTCGTATCGAGTCTGCAGCGAACAATTACACTCCTGCACTTAGTTCCTAAGTTCCAAATCGTCATGTGCTCCCAAGATTCCCGGAACCTGACAAACATTGGACAGGGGGGACCAACCAACGGGCTTCTCCGCTTCTTGGACGATGACCAGCTAGCCGTCAAGGCTGCTGCCCTGGACACAAGAGCAAGTGTTTTTGCCCGTTTTCGTGCCTCTGATGTCTTCAGTTCCTCCCTACCCTATATCCTCCTACTTCACGTACAGGCCCGCGAAACAACCGCTAGTACATGTATCTAATATTCCTGTGTGATATTTCGAAGAATCAGTGAATGCACGCTCGCTGTCTCCGAAACATCGCTCGATCTTAGGAGGTGGCATTGGCAGGTTCTCTCAGATGAGCTTGGTCGGTGCTTGTTAACTGGGGATCACTCTCCGAACCAGCCATTAACTGTAGTCATGGCGACCAGATTAGTTTCTCTTCTTCTTCGTGCAAGAAAGCAGGTGTGTATTAGGGGCACGTAGCATTCGCGATCAGGCTGCACAACTTACTAATTCAGGATATCATTGTTATACTCGCAGGACTGGCTAAGACCTGGGACGTCCAGATATGCCTGGCTTCTAGAGAGACAGTTAACTACGGCTCCGTTAGGTATGCTGCGACTTCTGCTCTTCAAAGTCTTGATCAGATTATGATACTGATTTTAGTGAGGTATTGTGCAGGGGGCAAAGACGACGAAGCTACCAGAATCCCTCCTCTTAGTGCTTCACAGGTTAGCTTTGCTGCGATGTGAATGTGGGTTGAAGTTTCAGTAAAGAATCCAACTTTGACCGCGCCATGCTGCTCGTTTTCAGGAACCGGCTAGTTCAAAGCCATCTGCGGGATCAAAACCGAGGCTTCGGCCTTTGATGCCAAAAGCAGACGGCAGCCTACCAGAGTCCGTCAAAGTTGCTGCTAAGGCCTGCGGAGTGCAGAATCCGACGGTGAAACGAGTAGCAGAGGGCGTGACATCTACTACACCCACAAGAGTTTTTGAAGTACCTGAGCTGATTGAAAATCACAAAGTCCTCCCAGACATGTCCCCAGGAGTGGTGCCTAAGGGTTACATTGATCCGGTTATCCCTGAAGTATGGGGTCGGGTCCATTCGATCGAGTCCTTCTCAGCAGTGGACGGACCTGCCATTAGATCCGTGGTCTTTGTGCAGGTAAGCAGCTGTTACTCCCTTCCTGTTCTTGCCCATATTCTGCATGTTATCGAACAAACCAGAATCGATGAATTCACTGTGTTGCATGGACACAGGGATGTCCAAGGCGCTGTGTGTTCTGTGCCAACCCAGATACATGGAGGTGAGTATCCTGTACTCTTCGCTGCCTACTCGGTACCGCTGTATAGCGTCCTCATGCTGTAAGCCGTCCGTCGCTTTCCATTTGCAGTGTGACAGCCAAGTCCCAACGGTTATCTTCCAAAGACATTGCTGCACGGTTGAAGAAAAACTTGGCGTACTATAAAGGCGGTGGTGGGGTGACTATTTCAGGAGGGGAGCCAATGATGCAGCCTCACTTCTGCAGTGCCGTTTTCAAGGAGGCCCACCGACTAGGAATAACAACAGCACTCGACACAGCAGGTAACGTCGGGCTGCACCGCAGTATGGTTGAGCTTGTTTAGCCAGTTTTCACGCTTCCCTTCGTAGTGTTGGCATGAGTTGCTGATGCTCCCTGTATTGAACTCATCGTTCTGCCAAATGCAGGATACGGCAGAGCCAAGGACTGGGCTGAAGTTCTTCCACACACTGACACTGTTCTCCTGTGCACCAAGGCAGTGAACCCGAAGCTCTACTTTGACATGGTACAAGTGAAGCAGCAGCTGTTTCTGGACTTCGCAAAAGCAGTGGGAGATTATGGCGTCCCTATGGTCATACGCTTTGTTCTGGTCCCAGGCATGACTGACACAAAGGAGGAGGTGGAGGGCCTTGTCGAATGGGCGAAGCAGCAGCCAACGTTGGCTGGGATTGAAATGCTTCCATATCACAGACTAGGGGTCAACAAGGTACGACTCAGCTGTACCACTGTACATAGCATTTGGTGGTGCATTGTTTGTTGCCATCTTATTTTTTACATCTTTCGTGTTTGTGCACTGTGCAGTGGGAAGCATTAGGGATGAAGTACCCGTTGGATGGAATGGTGCCAAGCCCGAAAGAAGTCATTGATAATTGGAGGTCATACATCGCCTTGCAGGGTCTAAAAGTGATGCTTTAGAATACCACAGTTGTCTCAGCAAAATATGGGCATTAATATAGTCTCTAGTAATGTATAAGATGCAGTGTGTAATAATTCCATGTTATTTTTCGTGTTCCACATAGCGCTGCGCTGATTGATCCATCTCCAGCCACAATTTTTTCGTCTGAGGTGGATGTTGGGTTTAGCTGACGCGAGGGGCCTTCTCAACGAACATATGCACGTCAGCAGCGTTTTGCCAAATTGCCACCCAGAAAACAACTGCCCGACTCTTTCTTCTGTCCAGTGTTCACAGAAACAACATCTACATCTATCCGTCCAAAATGTCAGCACAGTCCGTCAAACAATTCTTACCGTCGATGACTGGAAATAACGTTTCCTCGATCTGCTACAATCGACATAATCGAAACATCTGTTTCAGGACACAGACCTGCCCCTTCTCTCCCCTCCCTCGAAGTTATCACCTTGAGATCATCCAGCGAGTAATTTTGCTGAAATGGCATGAGAGAAGCGTTGCAGAAAGCAGTTTTGCATTCACCTTGGCCACCTGCAGCAACACACGGCCTTCTGCAAGACGTGATAGGCTTCTTTGGAACGCCAAGGGACCACAAAACTGGCAAAGCCGCTCTGACTGCACAAACGTCTTGTCCTTCCGTCCTGACTTCCAGCTGAAACCAGGGGCTTGACACATTTTCCCGTCATGCCTGTACTGTCAATTGCTGTTCTTGTTGCTGCTGTTCCTCCATCACCTTGTGTTTCAGCTCTCGGCGGCACCAATGTGTCTCCCGAATTACATATAAACCCCGGACAGATAGAACACCGCGGACCGCGACCATGTAGGCGTCAGGTCGAGTCAGCCGCGCGCTCGCGGCATGATCCTCTTCTGGCTCCAGCTCGTGCCTCCCACGTACTGCGAGCGGTAGTCAACGCGGACCGCGAAGCAGCAGCGACAGCTGGTCAGATAGAGCAAGTACCAACCAGCAGCGAGCGAGTGGAGAAGGCTGAAGAGATAGCAGTGTCCTGTCCCTTCGCCTGACAATGCCGTCAATTTGTCAACTTATCGCAAATTTGAAGTTGTTCGCGTGACGGAGGATCCACAACTCTGGGTATGGCTGCTTGTAAGGGTAGACGCGCGGTGACAGCAGTCATCCATCTCGTCGTAACATTCTGCTTCCGCATTTTGCTGGTGTTACTTCATCTTACAAATGCTCACGTTCCCTTCGTTTACCCTGATGCTGCCAGGCAGCAGCGGCGCTTCGAGCAGATGCCTTATGTGAAACGGAACCGCATGTGAGGTGAGAGAAGGCGTGCTCTGTGTATGTTTGACAGGTCTTCACCCAGAAGATGAAATCTGTAGCTTGGGTGGTGATACCATCACTCGTCTGTCGTGCGAAACGTAAAGGCGCGTGGCATTGCCTGAGCTGCTCGTTTAAAGGGTTAATAGCAGCTCCTAGCTCCTTTTGCTCCTGATTGCGCTAGTTGTCACAAGGA